CCAGATGGCTTCACTGGTGAGTTTTACCAAACCTTCAGGGAAGAGCTATAACCAATTCTACTCAGATTATTCCAGAAGATAGAAGGAGATGGAAAACTTCCTAATACATTTTTATGAAGCAACATAACCCTCATATCAAAACCAGGGAAGGACATCACTAAGAAAGAAAATTATAGACTAGTATCCCTCATGAACAAAGATGTAAAATTTCTCAACAAAAACCTTGCCAACAAAATTCAACAGCACATCAAAAAATAATCCATCATGACCAAGTAGGATTCATACCAGGGATGCAAGGATAGTTCAACATTAAAAAAAAAAAAAAAAAAATCAATCAATGTCATCTACCATATGAATAAGAAATAGGAAAAAAAACATGATCATATCGATTGATGCAAAAAAGGCATTTGACAAATCCAACATTCATTCCTGAATAAAACACTCAACAAAGTAGGAATTGATGGGAAATTCTTCAACATAATTAAGAGCATATATACAAAACCAACAGCCTGTATATCACTCTCAATGGAGAGAAACTGAAAGCCTTCCACTTGCAACCAGGTACCAAACAAGGATTCCCTTTATCACCACTCCTATTTAATATTGTTTTGGAAGTCTTAGCCAGAGCTAAATGGCAACACAGGAAAATTAAGGCATCCAAATTGGCATATCATCTCTATTTGCAGATGATATTATCCTATACATAGAAAACTCCAGACTCAGCAAAAAAAAACTACTGGAATGCACTGGAAGGTTCAGCAAAGTGTCAGGATACAAGATCAACATACAAAAATCAGTTGGATTCCTCTACACTAATAATGACTAGGATGAGAAGGAAATTAAGAAAGCAATACCATTTATAATAGCCACCCAAAGGATGAAATATTTAGGAATAAATGTAACCAGAGAAACAAAGGACCTATACAAAGAAAACTACAAAACACAACTACAATAAATCAAAAAAGAGACTTACAAAATTGGAAGACTATACCATGCTCCTTGATAGGAAGACTTATCATGAAAATGTCAATACTACCCAAAGCAATAGACACATATAACGCAATCCCAATCGATTCCAATGACATTCTTCAGAGAGATGGAAAAAACAATCACAAACTTTATATGGAAAGGGAAGAGACCCAGGTTAAACAAAGCACTGCTTAAGAAGAACAACAAAGTTGGAGGCCTCTCACTCCCTGATTTCAAAATTTACTACACGGCTATGGTGGTCAAAACAGCCTGGTACTGGTACAATGAAAGGTACATAGATCAACGGAACAAAATTGAAATCCCAGTAATTAACCCATCCACAGACAGCCAACTGATCTTTGACAAAGGGCCAAAGTACATTGCATGGGGAAAAGACAATAGTCTCTCCAAGAGATGATGCTGGCAGAATTAGAACTCGATATGCAAAAGATTGAAACAAGACCTTTACCTCATGCCATATACAAAAACCAACTCAGCATGGATTAAAGACCTAAATGTGAATCCCAGAATTACAAAGGTCATTAATGAAAAAATAGGGACAAATTTAAGGGCTCTAATCCTGGGCACACAGACTACCAGCAATGCAAAAATTACACAAACCAAAGAAGACAAAACAGATGACTGGGACATTCTAAAAATTAGAAACTTATGCGCATCAAAGAATTTTACCAAAAGAGTAAAAAGGGAGCTCACAGAATGGGAAAAAATCTTTTGCAATGACATGTCAGACAAGGGACTGATTTTGAAATATTCACGATCATTAGCCATTGTTATTGTTAAGTGCCGTGGAGTCGCTTCCGACCCACAGCACCCTGTATAGGGTTTCCAAGGAGCAGCTGGTGAGCTTGAACTACTGGCCTTGCAACAACTTTGCAGTCTCATATGCATTAGCCCACAGCACACCAGGACTCCATTAGAGAGATGCAAATCAAAACAACAATGAGATACCATCTCACTACAGCAAAGATCAAAAATACAAAGGACAATAAATGCTGGTGAGGATATGGAGCAACTGGGACCCTCCTACATTGCTGATAGGAATGCAAAATGGTCCAACCACTCTGGAAAACAGTATGGCACTTCCTCAGAAAGTTGGAAACAGAAATACCATATGATCCAGCAATTCCTCTAAGTGGTATATACCCACAAGAAATACAAGCCATAACATGAGTAGATATATGCACACCAATATTCACAGCAGCACTATTTACAATAGCAAAAGGATGGAGACAGCCAAGTGCCCATCAATGGAAGAATGGATATACAAAATTTGGCACATACACACAATGGAATATTATGCTACCTTGAAAAACAACAAGGAAGCTGTAAGCCACCACATAACAGGGATGAACCTTGAGGGTATTATGCTAAGTGAATTTAGTCAGTCACAAAAGGACAAATACTGCATAAGACCATTATTGTAGAAGCTTAAGAAAAGATACCCATACTAAAAAGGAAAAAAAAAAAAATTTGTTTGTTACCGGTGGGGGTGGGGGAGGTAGAGGGAGGTGATGGCAGATCACAGGATGGGGAGGTGGGGCAGACACATCGTAGTTCAGTTGTTGGGGAGAGCAATACACAAGAAGGGGGAGGGAATGGAAGAACCAGGTAGACAGGGGAACACTGAGACAGATTTGCATGGGCTAAATGGGACAGAGGTAAACGGTGATGCATACTCAATCCTGGAACAACAGGGCTTTGTGATACAGGGATCCAAGCAAAGTCTGAAGAGGGGAAATACTTCTAAGATGCTTGACTGTCATATGAATATTGGTTTCCCTTGCCTACTATGGTAAAATAAGACACTTGAGTGGGATAGAAAGGAATGTCGGGAAACAGGATTACAGAAAGTTTATAAGCCCGCCCGTCTTCAGCCTATAACTGATCGGAATACCTAAAAGGGGTTCTACATGACCAGTGAAACAGGCCTCTTGCAGAGCCTTTGCAGTATTTAGGACCTTAGGTAGAATCCTGAGCCCCAATCAGAACCTTCTGAGTTGGGACACTCCCACTAGAAAGGACAAGCAGACCAGCCTAGAACAGCTAGAGCAACAGAAGATACATCTTCAAAGAAAGATCAGCAGGAAAAACCCAAAACAAAAATGGCAGTATGATTGGCTACTACAAAAATAAGCAAGTTGTTCGCCAGGAAGCCATCAAGACAAGCAATCAAGTCCCTTCAGGACAAACTCCCCTCCAAGACTGAAACTCAAATGGAACACATAAGCAGGCATGTAAACTTGCTGGCAACCACATTGGTCTACCGGTGAGTGGGGGAAAGGCAACAATGAAGAAATGGGCTGAGTTCAGAGTTCAACCACGTTCCATAGACTCCCGTTGACCTGGAGATGAGAGAGAGAAGGGCTGGTTGGTCCAAAGTGTGGTGAGATCTGGGGACACTTGAGCCCATGGAGGGCTAGAGCTAAGAGTGAAGCATCCAGCTGATATGAAGTATGGGGAAATGCACAAGAACGCTCCAACTTTTGAGGTAGTACCCATTCGACCTAGCTTCAATGGCTTGATAATCAGAACTCGACTAAAGAAAGATTTAAAAAAAAAAAACTTTTGATGACAGAAACAAGGGTACTTGACCTATACTCATGGAGGTAGTAACTCAAAATATCAACAGAGAGGGAAGTAGTCTTCACATCAAGTATCAATACAACCCCCTCTGTAAACAGGGTAGATAGAGACAAGCAACTTAGACACTGACTACCTAAAATGAGGGGGCAAAAAAGGCATGAAGTGACTGGCTTATAAGGTTTCAAGAGATAGTTTAGTTTAAGAGTGTGTGGGAGAAGATAAGAGTCCCCACTGAATAGTTTTCATCTTGTCTAGATGGGTCTGGTGAAGAGATGGGGATAAGATTCTTACCATTCAGTAGTGAGTAATAGTTATCATGACTAATTGCGACTATCACAATTGTAAAGGTAAAAACTTTGTGACAAAAAGGGGGAGTAGTTAATCTTGCAGTTCAGAAACAGAGACCCTCAGGACCATCAAGGGAAAAGTGCACAATCAAGAATGTGGGACCTTATCCAGAGAGGCAGTGACACCAGAGATGGGAACATGGAAAGAGGGAGCAGCTGAGGACTCTACATTCATGGAAAGAAAAGGACTGAGAGCTGGACGCCAGGAGGCAGACTTACAGAATGCGCCCTTTGGTGGTGTAAATTATTATACAGGCCTGAGTGTTTTGTTTTGTTTTTTTTTAATTTTAAAGTGCTAAAATGAATAGAGAGAAATACTTTAACTGATAGTACATGGTGGGGATTATAATAATTGTAATGAAACAAAGTATATGACTTGTTGAATGTAAAACTGATAATCTATCTGCCCTGTAAACTTTCACTTAAATTCACAATAAAAACTTTAAAAAAAAAAAAAGTTTTAAAATTCGGTAGCAATATTTTCTGCCGTGTAAAGGTATAGAGCAAGAACACTCAAAAGCCTAACAGCTAAATAACTACCAACCAAATCCAGCCCACTGCCCTCAATTCGATTCCAACTGATACGGATCCTACAGGGCAGGAGAGAACTGCCTGATACCAGAGTTCTGAGGCTCTAAATCTTTAAGCGAACAGCCAGCCTCGTCTGTCTTCCAAAGAGCAGCTAATACAGATTCAAACTGCTAAACTTTTGAGGTTAGCAGTCCACCATGTAACCACTAGGGCTTTCTAAAATAAGTACACACAATGTTGTTATTGTTAGGTGCTGTCCGACTCACACAGACCTTATGCCCACAGAACAAAACACTGCCCAGTCCTGTGCCATCCTCAAAATCGTTATTAAGCTTGACCCATTGCTACTGTCACCGTGCCAATCCATCTCGTTGGAGGTCTCCATCTTTTTCGCTGATCTTCCACTTCACCTACCATGCTATCCTTCTCCAGGAACTGGTCCCTCCTGACAATATGTCCCAAGTATGACTATATGCTGCACACTTTGTTACTAGCAAACTGCCACAAGGCAGAGGTATCCAACACCAAGTTACACTACTGTATCCCAATTTGCACCCCATAAATTTCAATACAGCTGCTGCTTTAAAGCTCCCTTTCCCAACAGTGCTGACAGTGCGGGGAAGGCAATGCTTCTATTACTTACAGTTCAGCGACTTCCTGTTCCTCTTCCCAGGCCTCCTTGTGTGTTAGCTGACTGCTTCCGGTACTCTTACACGTCCAAATGCGTTCACTGTACCTTTCCAAGCGGGCTTCATATTCTCTGATAGGAGTGGCTCAGGAAAACAATATTCAAAGAGAGACAACTAACCAACCAACACCCATAAAATACTTAGCACACATATATACAACATATATATATAATATCCTTTCTTTCTATAAGGTACAGCACAATAAAACTGGAATCAAGGTATTCAATTAGCAAGTCAAAACAGCGAGATTAGCAAGTCAAAACAGCGAGATTAGCAAGTCAAAACAGCGAGATTAGCAAGTCAAAACAAAGTGACTGTATGCTTTCTGCTTGTCAACCAGGAAAAAAGTCAACAAGAAGTCCACAGAAAAGGCTTCTATTTCAAAGTCTCAAGATTCTATTATTCTAGATTTCTGTTTATCACACTAATCATATTTACACAAAAGTATGATTCGTATGGCTTGTCTTGCTTTACAAATAACAATATTTCAGTACAAATGTGAAATCCTCAATTTACTCAGGCTTTATTTCAGGACTCACACTATATTAAAAATTTGTAAGAAAGAATAAAGATAAAATAAAGTGCACACCATAGGAATAAGATTTTAAAGTATATGGGATTGTTACACCGCTCCGATGGTCAGCAAGTTCAAGAATCAGTTCCACAGCAGCGTGAAACAACTTTTCTCACTCTTAGTTAATCATGACTGATTCCAAACAGTTTGAAATATCCCATGCCATGCGTAAACTGAAGAACAACTTATGAACAGGCTTTGGACTTGGGATACACCTGCTGCTTCTCTGGATTTAAAATTAAAATTCTAAACCAAAAAGACAAACCCCTAGAAGAGTCTGGTGAAAGGAGATGGGGATAAGATTCTTACGATTCAATAGCGAATAACTGTTATCACTACTAACTGCGACTGTCCCAACTGTAAAGGTAGCAGTTTTGTAACAAAAAGGAGGGGAGTAGTTAATCTTACATTTCAGGGCCATCAAGGTAGAAGAGCACGAGCAGAACGTGCGGCCCTTTCCAGAGAAACAGCAACACCAGAGATGGAGGTAGAGATGTCGGCATGAAAGACAAGAGCAGCTGAGAACTCCAGACTCATGAAAAAAGAAAGGCTGTGTGCTGGCAGCCAGGAGGAGGCAGGCTTAGAGAATGTGCCCTTTGATTGTTTAAATGATTATATATTCCTGAGTGTTTTTGTGTATATCGTCTCCCCACCCCTCACCCTCCCCTCAAAAATACAGGTAATAGAAGCAAATACTGCTGAATGATCATTGCAAGGAAACAATGAGTATAAAACTGATGTTTCTCATATGTAAACTATCACTCAATTCACAATATAAACTTAAAAAGAAAAGGGTCATGTTCATACAGTTGTAATGCAATACTCACTGCTTTAAGCTCAATAAAATGAATATCCCAAATTGTAGATTAAAAAGACAAACCAATAAAAATCAGTAAAGGACTTAAGAACAAGACATTCCTCAAAAGATATACAAATTGCCAATAAGCACACGAAAAGATGCTCAAAGGAAATCAAGTTACAATCAGACATCACGTTACACCCTCTTTGTTGTCTGCCACAGTGCCATCCCACTTCCCCCATCACCTGCAAATAGCACCATAGAGATCTATAGGGTTTTTACTGGCTGATATTAGGAAGACATCACACCTTTTTTTCTAGTCTTACCATGAAAACTGCACAGAAACCTGTTCCCCACCATTGTTAAGTGCCTTTAAGTTGATTCTGACCCAGAGCAACCCTGTATAGGGTGTCCAAGCTTGAACCACTGACCTTGCAGTTCCAACGACTTTGCAGTCTGATGCATTAGCCCACAGCGCCACACCAGGACTCCATTCTCCATCATTGTTGTTGTTAAGTCAAGTCGGTTCCAACCCACAGCGACCCTGTACAGGGTTTCCGAGGCTGTAAATCTTTACGGGAGCAGAAGATCTCATCGTTCTCCTGCAGAGCGGCTGGTAGTTTCGAACTGCTAGCCTTAAGGTTCACAGCCCGATTCATAACCACTATGCTACCGGAGCTCCTTGATAGCAACATGAAAACCTCCAATGACCGATGTCTCTGTACATGAGATGTACTGAATGGGAATCAAACACAGGGCTTCCCACATGGAAGGCTGAACCGCCTGCTTTATATAAGGGTTATCATCAGAAAATGGAAAACAAGCATTGGTAAGGATGTGGGAAAATGGAACCCTGGTGTATTGTGCGGGGAATGTAAACTGATACAGCTACTGTGAAAATCAATCCAGTGGTTCCTGAAAATGTTAGAGTTACCATTTTACCCAGCAATTCTACTTCTAGGCATATAACCACAAGAATTGAAAACATGGTCTCAAACATATAAATGTATGTAATTATTCATTACAATAATACCAATAGTCAAAAAGTGAAAACTCAACAATGTGTTCATTAACAGATGAATGGATAAACAAGATGTGGTAAATACATGGAATAACATTCAGCAATAAATAGAAATGAAGATCTAATACATATCACGACATGGATGAACCTTGAAAACACTACATAAAGTGAAACTAAGTCAGGCACAAGAGAACAAATATTGTCTGACCCCACTAATATGATACATGGAGCCCTGATACAGCATTGTAAGATCAACACTGGACTGAATCGGTAATTCAAACCCACCAGCCATTCCTCAGAAAGCCTACACAGGGTTCCTGTGAATCCGAACCGGAACAACATATGAACAATAAATGATTACCATGAGCTAGGGGAGGCAGAAATAGGAACTTACTGCTTAAGGAATACCAAGTTTCCTTTGGAGGTGACGAAAAACTTTTGGGAAAAGTGACAACGGTTATGCAACATGGTGAATTTAAGTGGAGTTCTGGTGTGGCACTGTAGGATAAACACTTGACTGCTAACCACAAGGTTCGGCAGTTCAAGCCCACCAGTCACTCCTCGGAAACCCTAAAAAAGGTTGCTATGAATCAGAACCAACTTGACAATTAATTTTTTTTTAATTACTTTTAAAAATAATTTTCTATGAAGTCCTAAAAATATGTTTGATCCTTTTTATCTAGTCTTTATGCTGTTTCCACTAATACTACATTCACGAGATCGCTTATCAGTCATTGCTCAGACAAGTCTTCCTGGGATATGTGGAGAACAGAGTATCAGATAAATTAGTGTCAGATACATGACAATTTGTTCTATACCAGTCCAGTTGAAATCCACGACCAATCATGTTTTTAAACTCAAATGGCAAGTAACTAACTTACTTTTACACAGAGCAACTGATGCTATGTAAGAAACACACAAATACCACAACTAGCTATCAAGGCCTGCACTTGCCAAGCAGTCACTTTGTAATATACTGGGATTCTAGATTTTCCAAGGGTTATGACCAGTGAGAAGACCCAACTGATGAGGTTAGATTTGGTCTGTGGGCAATGGAAAGGAAGCAACAGGACAGAGTCAGTGAGTGGCTTTAAACAGTCAAAAAGCTCGATAACTTTCTAACATACTATTTACCTACAATTAAGAAGTGCTCCTTAAAAGCCAAGAAGGCAAGACTCTGCCTCTTACACTTTGGACATATTACCAGGGGGTACATGTCCCTGGAGAAGGACATCATGCTTGGTAAAGTGGAAGGTCAGCGAAAAAAAAGTAAGACCTTCAACAAGATGGACTGTCCCATTGGCAGCAGCAAAGGGCTCAAGCATAACAACAATTGTGAAGATGGTGCAGACTGGGCAGTTTCCTTCTGTTGTACATACAGTTGCTGTGAGTAGGAACCAATTTGATGGGGCTGGTGATGGTGATGTGTGCTGGAGTCAGCGACCCTCTATAGGGTTTCCAAGGCTGTAAATCTTTACAGGAGCAGAAAGCCTCATCTTTTTCCCATGGAATGGCTGGTAAGTTTTGAACTGCTGACCTTGAGGTTAGCAGCCTGACTCATAACCACTATGCTACCAGAGCTCCTTCTGATGGCACCTAACAACAAGAAATGCACTGGGTCGCTGGGTGGTGCAAGAGGGTCACGATGCTCGGATGCTAACAGCACCCAGAAGCACCTTGAAGAAAGGACTGGTGATTTACTTCCTAAACATATGCCACTGCAAACTCCTCAGAGCACAGTTCTACACTGATACACACATTCAATGACAACTGTTATTTCTTAGTTTGTTGTTGACATGCAAATGTTCCCACAGAGAAGCAATCCTGTGGCCCCAACAAAACTGAGAATCAATCAAAGTTCTGTTAAGCTTCATTGTGTGTGGTTTACATTATTTTAGGGAAAAAAAGGCAATGTTGTTGTTGTTATTTCAAAACACAGCATATCTGAATACAGAACATTTGTTTATTTAATATGGTTTTTCAAACTATGTTGCTGTTTGTGCCATCAAATCACTTGACTCACAGTGACCCTGTATAGGGTTTTCAAGGAGAAGCTGGTGGCTTTGAACCCCAATACTGCGGTAAGCAGTCCAGTGCTTATTCAATAGCACCACAACAGGATTCTACGAGTCTCTTCAAAGTCTTTCACCCTTACTAGTAAGTATCTTTCCAACTCTCATTTGAAAATCACTGCTATTTATGGTATTCTTTAGCTGTCCTCATCCATTCCCATAACTTCAATTACTGTCTTTATGCTGATAACTTCTACCACCAGCTTAGTCACCACTCTGAGCAAGAAAGAGACCCAGAGAGCTCCAATAGTATTCTGGACATCTCCATCTGGGTATGAAGCACAACTCAAGGTAAGACTGTCCAAACTGAAATCTTCACTTTCCTACCCCTTAAACCCAGTTAAGGAGTCCTGGTGTGGTGCTGTGGGATAAAGCTCTGGACCACAAGGTCGGTAGTTCAAACTCACCAGCCGCTCCTTGAAAACCCTATATAGGGTCAACAAACCCAGTCAAACAAAACAACGAGAAACAAACTTGTTCCTCTTCCAGGGAATGACACTACAATGATCTAACTGAAAAACAAGGCTCTTCTTCCCTAATCGGTCAGCAAATCCTACCAAATCTACCTTATATTATCTCTGAATTCCATCCTTTGTACTTCCCTC